ACCCCTGAACACAGACGTTGGGGGAGTATAAACTTCTCTCTAGTATCCTCATAACACCAAAGATACACCAACAATGTCTATGGAGAAAGTGACCTCTTGTTGGCAGGTGCCACCGAGTCTGTTTAGACCCATAGAGATGGTGCGCATCACGGAACACAACACTATGCTGCTGTGCGCCAGCTCACAATCGTTCCTGTGCTTGGGCCCATTGTTGCAGCCACGGCGTCAACACATTTCAATGAGAACCTTCCTCTTTTTTGTTTTTTTTTCCACTCTACCAAGCATGATGTCCTTCTCAAGGGACTTGTCTCTCCTGACAACATGTCCGTTGACTTTTTTTATTGCATTTGTTCTGGTCAAAAGTTAAATCACTGGTGTATCCTTTTGAGCCTGTTGTGTTTTAGAACTAAAAATGTATCTAAAGTGAAATATTCACCAGATTGTCTTAATGGCTGATTCATGACTGCAAAAGGGAGCATTATTTGCTTTAAGGTAAATTTACAAAAAATAGTCTGATATTAATGACAGAAAAGATTGGGGGTGGGTGGGTAAATAGCACCCCTGTGACTTCTGTGAAAGTCTTATGTCACCTAATATGTTTGCAACTGGAATCTCAGGAGGAAAGAGAGAACGAATGGGGTAGAAAAAATAAATTTCCAAAGTTTGGTGAAGAACATAAACTTGAGTTTCCAGAATTTCACTGAACCTCAGAAAAAATTCACAAATAATTATAATACCTAAGCATGTCATAATCAAACTGACGTAAATTAAAAAAAAGAATATATTTTAATTGCCACATAAACTAAAATAATATAGAAATAGTGATATGAATTAGTGGTAAAAACAGAAGATCACAAAAGTTACTAGCAACTAAGAATTCTATATCTAGTGCAAACGTTCTTTATGAATGGGAGAAAACTCTACATTTTTAGATATATATGAACTCAGAGAACTTGTCACTAGAAAACTTGCACACAACATAAAGGTCAAGAAATTTTTTTCAAGCGGGAAAAGAATGCTATCAAACGGAAGTGCAGATATTGTAGAAATGAAGAAAGTCAGAAATGGTGGTGGTGGTAGACATGTATGTGTATACACACATATATGTGGGACCCCTGGTGGTTCGGTGGCATACATGTTGGTCACCAGGTAAACAGTTCAAGGTTGCCATGGCTCCGCAGAAGAAAGACAGTGTTGTCTTCTCACAAAAAGATTTCTAGGCTTGGGAACCCTGGGGAGCAGTTCTACTGTGTCCTATGGGGTCACTAGGAGTCAAAATTGGCCTTGTGGCAGTGGATTGGGATTATAGCTATACCATTCAAGGGTGCTCCAAAAGTTTGTGGCAATGTTTCATTAATTTTTAATGCCATTTTCCATAGATTTTCTGAAGCCCTGCCCCACCCCACCGTGTGTGTATGTGTGTACATGCCATAAGGTATTTTACATATATGAGATTCTTTTGAGATTTTGTGACCTTAATATAAGGACACACGTGGAGGCAATGGATGCTGACACAAAGTATCAAAGGCAAAGTAAACACAAATATATTCCATATTTCTGATAAGAGATCCCTGGGAGGAAGTTACCATCAGCTGCACAAAGTGAACTGACTTTCTTAAGGATTTATCAGCTTTTAGATGACATCAACAGTTTAGATATGAAGAATAACACGCAGAGACATAAAATGTTTCTACACTTAATCTTGTATCATGCCAACCAATTAAGTAAAAGCTTTTAGCTTGATGAAATTATTTTTATATTTCATGGAATTGAAATATTCCATGAAAGTACTGAATATCAGAGTGAGGAAAGTGTCTTCAAGGTCCCCCAACTTGGCCCTGATAACGAGGCGATAGCTGAGGTACTTCAGGGATCCATCTGGGGCACCTGCGAACGCGAAATGTGAGAGCTGGTAGACAGAGACCTGAGTCCTGGTTGGCAACACCTTTTGTAGATTGCAATGCATTGATTGAGCACCAAAACTAGTTCTGGAAGGCACCTTTAACCTCTGATACTTTCCAGGTTAAACCTTTGTAATTGCCTATCCCTCCCCCACTGAAGCTCATTGTCACAGAGTTGATTCTGACGGGTGTTAGTTCATTGTCATAGAGTTGATTCTGACGGGTGGTTAGTTCATTGTCACAGAGTTGATTCTGACGGGTGGTTAGTTCATTGTCATAGAATTAATTGTGACTGGTAGTTAGTTCATTGTCACAGAGTTGATTCTGACTGGTAGTTAGTTCATTGTCATAGAGTTGATTCTGATGGGTAGTTACCCTTTAGGACAGGATAGAGTTTCAGAGAGGGTAATTCTTTACAGAAGTAAAAGCCCCATCTTTCTCCTGGTTTCTCACTGCTGACCTTGCAGACACCAGGGATGCCTATAAGGTTTCAACCAAGAACCAGATTCCTCAAAGACCTTCAGTATGTCCCACATCTGCTCTACCTTGTTCTCCCCAGACTTTCTTTCCTCCTGGATCAACCGCAGGATCTGCATATTCATTTCAAGGTCTCTCAGGAGACTAAACCTCCAACCTAACTGGAGTCTACGTCTTAGAATATTTTGTTCCCCAACAGTATCATTAGGTGAATGAATAATTGGTTTGTAGTTTGGCATCAATATTGAATACTGATTATGTCTTATAAGAACACCAGTGATATAAAATTGATTATTGAAAAATCAAGTTCTTGGTATCTATTCTTATTATCTTTACTGATGATTTGCATAAAAAATATAATGTTTCTATGTGTCCAGAGTGGTCATAAAGAATGATTACAAATAGTCACAAAGAACAATTCAAACTTGCTAACTTCTAGAATGGCAAATAGACAAATGAAAGAAATATGTTTCTTTAGCTTCTGTATTGATTCTGATTTTCTATCTTAATAACCCTATTAATATATAAAATTTAGATAATTGGCTTGACTAAAGGACAATGAACTAGTAATATTGTTATACTAGGCCTCCAAATGTGTAAGGAAGGGGATTAAGAAGATAAAACTATAGGGAAGAGACAAAGTCAAGAAAATTAGGAATTAAATAAATATTCTAGGACTTTGGGCAAAGAAAACACTTAACAGTTTTTCATATGCTGTTTTTATTTATCCATCAATGATTAATTTGTGGATGATCCTTTTAAATACTGAGAAATAACACTGGGGCAGAAAATAAGCTCTCGGTGAGCTCTTATCTCTGGTGAGGAACATAACCCAGGGTTCCGTAAGACATAAATGGGTACCTTTCATACCTCTATCTCAAGTGGGGCAGAGAAGGGGACAGTCATTTGAGGTGACCGGTATCAAGAAGGGTTCCAGATGGGGGTTGAGAAAGCCTTTCTAGGAATGGCTAAGAATGAACACACTTGTTTTCAAGGAGCAGCAGCAGCATAATTACATGGATCTAAGAGGCCCCACACCTCTAGGGCATCTCAAGAGTTTGTGGGCCATCCTTTGAAAATCACATTACAGAATCCAACCATTCACGATTTCCTTAGCTGTCTACGGAATCTGGAACTTAACATGGATAATGGCAGGAACTGAAAGTTATTTTGGTATGAAAATTGGCTGATTAAGAAAGCTTTTAAAGATAATTACGCTGGGAGCAAAGTACAAGGAGAAATGAGGCTGGAAAAGCAGTGGGACTTGAGTGATGGACGAGGACGGTTGTCCAGGTAGAGACGAGCAGCAGGCTAAATTTCTTAGGCCTAAAAATAAATTTTATTTAAAAAGAAAAAAAGAAAAGAAAGCATATAGACATATTTAATATTGTTTTTCATCATAGATACCTAAAGATTATGTTTCCTTTTTTTATTAACCCTTTGTTAAAAAGTATGATCTTTGCCTAAGGAGCTCATTATAAATACTCTTTGAAATAACTAGACTGTCAGAAGAACTGAGCACGTTTTCCCTACCATCTTCTTGTTGCCTACAAAGAGTTAGAAATTTGCTTTCCCAAATGTAAGCTGCAGATAAACTGGCAGGGAAGATAGCTTTCGAGGTTTCTCCTCCTTTGCCTTGAATCCAGATAACCCGTGTATATTTTCCGATATCAGTTTTTGTACACTTTTACATTAACCCTAAATAATGAATGGGGGTGAGAGAGTGAAGGGGAGTGAACTCCCTCAATCTGAAGAAGGGTTCATTGTTTTTACTCTATTTTGCAGAGTGTTGTTTTAAATAAGTGCTAGCCTGGAGAAGGTTTTTAATGTTTTGAACCACAGGCTTTATATTACCTTAAAAAAAAAGAAAGAAAGAAACCTCTCAGCCGCAAGTTGGATGCTTCTGGCAGCAATACAAATCTAGCACCACCCCGGGAGGGAGTGTGATTTTCCCTGTGCTCACAGGGCAGGGGAATGCTGGACATTCCCAGACAGCAGGGAGGCTGCCCAGAGCACCGCCAGGCCGGCCCCCAGCCCCACGCCTTGGCCCTTCTCCTTTCAGAACCCACAGGTAAGTGCACTGTGATGCTCTGCTTACTGAGCTCCAGGTCCTAGCTCACTGCAAACAGGGCAAGCAAGTCAAGTGCAATGCACTACGGGTGCTTGAAAGTCTCCATGCCTTCAGAGAGCGCAGCTCGGCGGTCGGGTCATAAGTTCCTTATTCAAGCCAATGCATGGCTCCAAAGTTCCATTAGTGCTTGATTACTGTTTATATCTCTGTAGATCACTTTGCAGTATACTTTTCTACAAGCTAGTCAACAACATTAAAACAACTGTATGTTTGTTTGTTTTACAAATCGGTTATTCTTTCATATTCACTGTTAGTAGACCCTCTAGCTATCTTTATTGCTGAAAACGCAGCTATATCAAGTTTACTTCCCATGGCTTGAAAGATCAGTGAATACAGTGTGAGATTTTGATGTTAAGAAAGCCAGCCGCAAAACTGTCTAGAGGAAAAAGTTCCCACAATACGGCAGCAGTCTCTAAATTTAAAGCTCAGGACTATACATTTGGGTGCATGCTTAATGAATTTTTTATGTCACAATTTCTGTTTCTATTTAGATGTCAGAAACTGAGCTGGAGAAGACAAAAGTAAGATCGGCTGAGCATTTTGAAAATGATAAAAATAACATTTCTTGGGTGCAGGAAGGTGAGTGCTATTGCTGTCCTTTCCCCACTGCTGTAGAAGTCGTGCTTTTGTTTGTAAGCAGGAGGATGAAAATGCGGTTCAAATGGGGTTAGTGATCTGACTGTGAAAAAGGGCACATGGCCCACGTGTCGGTGAGGGTCTTGGTGTTGGAATACAGCTTCTAGTTTCTGGGTTGCAGGAAAACAGATGATTTTGCTGGTAAAACTTAGTACAGATTTTTAACCTTGGGTTGTTGTTTGTGTGTTTGTTTGTTTTTTATGCTTTACAACATCAGAGGTGGAGACATCATTAGAGGGCAAATATTTTTAAAATAGTAATTACATAACACAGGCCTGCTGGAGGGGAGAAATGGCCACAAATAGACTCATCAGTGGCTGCAATTAGAAGAGCCACCTTCCCGGGAGAGCAGGCTGTTGGTCACAGACACAACGTGCGCAGCAGGACTGCTTGAAATACACACAAAAATCGATATGTTCTCCCTCGGGAGAAGGAATTTGTGCACTTCTGGAAATATGGACAAGCTGGTGATTCGTGACTAGAGGGTTTGCTTCTGTCGCCTTGACCCTGGGAACGCCTTAAACGCCTCTCACAGGAAGCGGATCTGGTGCTTTACCTACATAAGCATGCTGGTCCTTTCCACCATTTCACCAATCCACTAACCTGTAAAAAGGCACAGCTCTTAAAGCCGGTGCCACTCTGGGAAACCGTTCTTTAAAGTCATAAGGAAGTCACATGCTGCCAAACAGTCAGAACAACTCCAACAGTGACAAGACTGCTTACTGATGCTTAGGGATAATTACCTTGAATCATTCAAGTAACCTAGGAAGATGCTATGATTCCCAATTTACAAGTCAGAAAACAGACTTAAAGAGTGTAAATAATTTTCCTAAAACAATACAATTAAAAAATGTCAGAACTTGAATTTGACACCTAATTTTGTGACCTCACAGGATGTGAACTAACTACCATGTTCCAAAGGGAGACAGTTTTCATTATTCATCAAGATATGATCTATGCTTACATAAATATATGCCTTTGCAGTGTTTACGTCAATACAACACTTCCATGCATATGTTTATAGGGGTAAAAAACAGAAAAACTACTTTTCCAAACTTCTAGATCATTCTTTATACCCAATTGTCCAGCAACCCAATTTACTACGGGAAGTGCTTTTCTTAGGCTCTATTCCAGGATGAGGAACTGACACAGACACGGAGTGTTCTCAGAATCATTTCCTTTAAAAAGCCTTAGGGCTAAATCGTTCTCCTTCTTTTTACTAAAAGTCTCATAGAATCCTTCAAAAATAATATAAAATGAATCTGTTGAACTTGGGTTAAAGATGGCCTTGCATTTTGCCCATGAACCCCAAATCCATGAAAGCAGTGATGTGTATGTTATTTTAAATTTAATTGCTTCATGGTATCACATAGAAATTATCATGTAATTGATAGACCAGTCAAATGTTTCCTAAAGAATTTTCTTTTCTTTTCTTTGTTAAAGTTTCCATTACATACAATTTAGACATTGAATTCTTTGTAATCTAGGAAATCTAATTTCCAAGATGACCTGCTTTATCCCATTTGGATACTTCATCTAAGCTACACTCAAATTATGTTGACTATATTTCATAAGAGGAAATTGAGCCAGGTGCTAGATAGCAACATCTTAATTAGGAATTATCGGGTGAGTTCATTTTAGAACATTAATGTCTTTTAATATTAAGGAAAAGTATATGTGTTGGCCGTTTTTTAAAAATCATTTTATTAAGGAGAGTACAACTCTTATCACAATCCATACATGCATCCATTGTGTCAAGCACATTTGTACTTTTGTTGCCATCATCATTTTAAAAGCATTTTCTTTCTACTTGAGCCTTTGGTATCAGCTTCTCATTTTTCCCCTCCCTCCCACACCCTCCATCCCTTATGAATCCTTGATAATTTATGTTATTATTATTTTTTCACATCTTACACTGACCAATGTCTCCCTTCACCCACTTTTTTTTAAGGGTAAACTAGTACCGTGGGGAAGGTAAAGCATTTGAAGTGAGACAGATGTGGATTTTGAATCTCAGCACAGATAATTTATTGGATGTCTGACTTTGGAATGTTATAGAACTTCTCTGAGCCTCAGATTCCTTAGCATAAAATTTGTAGACCTGCCTCATGATAGTGTGATAATGTCATTTCTGTACTTCTCTCTTCAAAATAATACCACTATATTTTGTAGGAGCATAGCTGACATTTGGAGCAATCTAACAGTAACGGCAGTGCCTGGTCGTGCAGTGTGCTCTCACATCCCCTTGTGTAGTCCCCACAGCAATCTCGTGAGCAGGCAGGACGGTTCCCATTTTCCAGATAGGAAACTAAAGTTTAGGAGAGGCCCTGAACCTTGCTCAGACTTGCATGACTGTTAAATGGAAAGTTGGGTCTTTTCCCAAATTCTGCTTTTTAACTTTAATCACCTTACTACTGTGACTGCCCCAGTGGTTATCAATGAATATTTAAATCCATCCACTATGTTATCGAGTTGATTCCAACTCACAGTGCCCTGATAGGACGGGGCAGAAGAGCCTCTGTGTGTTACTTTTCTTTTCTTGCCATTTTAAAACCATTTTATTGGCATATAACTCCCAGGTAATGCAATTCAAAAGTTTAATCATATCAAAAATAGTTGTACAATCACAAGACATGGATTTTGAAAGTAAAAAGAGGCAACATTAAAGTTTCTCTCTCTCTTTTTTGTTGCCATAAACTTGTTTGTCACCGAAAAATACAAGTTCATTTGAATTTACTTTTCCTCCTCTTTGTCTTAAGCCACTCCCTGTGGATTTCTAAGACTGTAAATCTTTTTTTTAATTAAATTATTTTATTGGCTTTGTCTTCACATATCATACAAGTTAATCATTCAATCATATTAAGAAGAGCTGTGCAATCATCACCACAATCAATTTCAGAACATTTTCTTCTTTCTTGAACTAATTGTTAACTCTTCATGCCCCCCACCTCCCACCAACCTTCCCTGCCATGCCCCTAGGTAATTGTGAATCTAGTTACTGTCTCTATAGACTGACATCCTGGATTTCATAGACAATGAAATCACAGAAAGCCCAAACAGGAAGTGAACAACCCAACAGCCCAACAGCAACAAACAGACAAAACAGAGGAAAACCTCAACTGAAAATAAAGCAGAAAATATTAAAAACAGAAACAAACTTAAAATGGGTCAAAAGACGGAATAAATGATGAGGTATTACATTTTAATCTAAGTACATCTGCCATAATTGACATTTACAATGCTCTCTGTCTGATAGCAAGGCTATTCACACCCTTCAGCTACAGTCAGAAGACATTCCCAAGAGACTTAATCCCTGGGGGATGCTGCAAATGGATTTAAGCTTCCACTGTCAGCCAGGGCCTGCTGCAAGCCGGATGTTCACTTGCATTTTATTGTCTACAGTCCTTGGATCACAGAGTCTGGGGTGCTTCTTCCCTGAGGATTTAGTTGATGCCTCACTAAGATGGCTACTTATTTGAAGACAAGCATTTAAGACCCCAGATGCTATTCTTTCTAATAGCCAGGCAGCATCTGCTTTTTTCATCACATTTGGCTATAACACCTCTATCTTCAGTGATCTCTTCAGGAGAGTGAATACCAAACAAGGCCATTTCATAAGAACTTAATTGTTCTTAGACCAGGGCTAGAATTAAGTGCAAGATCCAAATCCATTCACTTATCTATGGTTTATATATGTCTTGGGTTCATTGTAGAGACATCATTGTCATTGTATCATACAGGACATTATATATCCTCCCCCTGAACCATAATGCAATTCTATCGATAGTATAATTAATTTAGCCAATGGTGAAGAATTTGAAATATTGTTGAGAAAAGGAAATTATCCAAGTATAGAGTGGCTTCAGACCACAATTCATGAACTGTTGACTTGTACAGGTTCAACTGTTAGTGACTGGACACTATTTACACAAATGATGGCATTGGTGATAAAGCAAATCTTTCAATAATAGTCATTCATAAAGGCAGAACCACGCCTACCAGACTATGTCCACAATAAGAAAACAAACAGAGCATTCAAATGGTAAATTTCTGGTAGTCTCAAGCCACCATTCATCAGGCACCTTCAAACCAAGAGATCAGAATGAAGGTGTAACAACCTCTAATTCCATAGCCTTGCGACAGCGGTCACCTGCTTCTCCTCCCACTGGGGCAGTTCAACCTGAAGTGCGAGGGAGGCTGGAGCAGAGTTACTAAGGAGACTGTGTGTCGTTGCAGGGGTAGAATGCACCTCCTCTCTCTTGAAGCCCTGGTGGTTTCAAGTGGCTGACTTGGCAGTTAGCAGCCCAACACGTAACCCACTCCGCCATCATTCATTAACTCTATCCTCTTAAAAAATAAAGGAAGAAATAAAGAGATGCTCTAAAATGGTTCAAAAAGTTTTCTCATGAATGGCAAAAGCAGTGGCTTCAAACATCATACCTCCATTGCCTCTCTCTGGAACTCTAGAAAATACCAATGCTCCATTGCTAAAGTGTGGGTAACCAGAAGCATAGTTGACTAGTGTTGGTACAGGTACTTATTGAAATTATCCACACCAACCTGTGAGCATAGTGCCTGGCCTCAGAATGAATAGGCAAAAGAAAAAAACCACAAGAAACTATCATCCTTATCCTGAATCCTATTTGCTACTCTTCTTCAAAACTGCAGTCAATTTATTGAATACGTATAATTCAACATGTATTCGTCATGGCATTACTTGAACCAGGACTAGATGGGGTGTCAGAGAGCAATACAAACAAAGAAACAAGACTCCTGTACTTACTTATTTGTCTTCCTCTTGCCTGACTTGTGAGCTGTTTGCCTGTACCCGCCCCTGTCCCTCCGATAAGGAAGCCCTGATGCTGTGGTGCGGTAGGAGGGGGACTCCTGACTGCAAGGCTGGAAGTCACCGGCCACTCTGAGGGAGGAAGATGAAGCTCAGCCCACAGAGGCAGGTCTACTCTGTCCTGCGAGTACAGTCCTGCAGCATCACGCTGAGCTGGACGGTCCTTGATGGTGGTGAGTTTGGCTTTTGTTCCCTTCTCACCAGCCCTCCGTCTCCACATCAGATGAAGACGCCTGGGGGTATGGCAGCTACTTGATGGGCTGCCAAGGACAAAGAGCTGTCCGAACCCAGGTGGCAGTAGACTCAGATTGGACTTGTCTTTTCAGTACTGAAGAGCTGTTCAGAGCCAAGTCAGAGCTGTTATCAATAACAAGGCTAAAACTAATGTGTTTGAGAAACACCACTGGCTGAATTTAAAAATCACTTATTTTTAAATTATCTGTTTTATTTTGCTTCTAACACTCCACTGCTTTACAGGAGTCATGTTTTCATGAACATCTAGACTTCTCAAACTTTAGATTCCTCGCATTCCTGGGTCTCAGTTCTAATTCAGGAGTGTAAACCTCATGAATACTTAAGACCAGTGATTCTGGAATAAGAGTTCAGAGACCAAACTTAGGGAAGCCCAGTTTGTAGATAGCTAAAGAATCAAAATAGGATTTTGAAATCAGCAGCCCAAGTCTCTGGGTGGTGCAAATGGTAAGGGCATGACTGCTCACTGGAAGGCTTATGTTTTTCAAGCACTTCAGAAGGTTGGAATTGATTCTGCAGTCACATATTGGGTTGCCTGTTTAAGCTGAGCTGTGATGTATACGCAGTGGCTTCAGAACATTTGTAGAAAAATGGACTTGGGGTGGGAGTGGGGAAATGGAATCAAAAGCTAATAGAATTTTTCCACAAATGTTTGAAGTTGGCCAGTTTTTCATTAGTTTGATTTGCATTGTTATTGAATATATATATAGTAAAAGGTGCACCAAGATCATAATGCGTCCATGTACAATTCTGTGACATTGAGTACACTCTTCAGGCTGTGCAGCCATTCTTGCTTGTTGATACACACTCATTGCTCCCTAAACTTTGTGTCTAACCTTTTGATTTTCTATTGTTGATATGATCCCATAAGAAGTATGATGCTGAAGGCAGACATTATTTATTAACTAAGCTAAACTGTTGTTTGATTTTAAAAAAATATCAGGGATGATTTTGGTTTAAAGTTTCAGGACGTGTCAGTGTTGAAGGCAGTGGTTAACACCTATTTGCAAAGGTGCAGAAGAGGAGATGCTGAGAGTCAAGGAATTGGATATTGGTCCTGGTGAATGAAATGGGCATGTTGGCTAAAGGGTTCTGTGGGTGCATAGCTTCAAAATAAAGGGGAGAAATCTGACTGAAATATGGATGCAAGTTAAATGGTTGGACATAAGTTCTGGGTTGTCACTGCAGGTTTGCAGCAGGGCTAATATATTGAAGGCTGGTTTGAGAATACAAAGCTGTAACTGCCATGAAAAGTGGAATGGGGCAGGTGGAGGAGACGTTAAGGCAAAAGAGTGGATGAGAGCTAAAATACCAAATGCATTCAGCAGCCCTGGAGTCAGGAAAACATGGCCTGGATCAAGGTCATAACAAGGAGAGGATAAAAATACACCCAAATGTGAAAAGCTCCACGAAGGAAAATTTGACATAACATAGAAGGTGGGGGTGAGAGGAAAGGGATTGCAGGTGGAATAAGATGGCATGTAATGTCCCATTAAGCCAGGGAGCATTCTGGGTAAGCATTTCAGTGCTTGCACCTTACACCATTTGATATGGAAGAGAAACATCAAAATGCAGGGATGGAAGCCCTTAAATTGTTGCCATTTGCAGTTTAAAAATCACAGCTTCACCAGTGTTTGAATGGCACATAATTTTTTAGAGTGCTACAACTTCTCTGAGTACTTCCTGAATTTTCAGAAAAAGCTGGAAACCTGGATTTCTATGTGAAAACTTCTGATTTCTAAATGTTAATTAATAATGATCAGAAAGTAACATGCAAGGCAAACAAAGTAGGTTCTGTGGGCATATTTCAGCCCACACATGATCAGTAGAAATCTATAACTTCTGTCCAAAGAGTTTTTGTATTTCTGAAAAATCTATCACAATTTCCTGAGAACTGTATTTCTATAATACTGCTGTATCAGTACAAAGGAATAGGTAGGCAGGTAGGGAGATAGATAGATAAATAGAGATAGACCCTGATTACCCTAAAAATTGTTAATTAAGAACATTGAAATAGATTGTTCTTTAAAAGATTAGCTATTTGTAATTCTATTAGTGGGACATCCTTTTCATGGATACAATAAGTAGAAATAACAAAATCACCTTAAATTACAAGTATACGCTCTATACATCAAAACAGTAATACTGTAATCTTCTAAATATATGTTTGGTCTTCCTAGTAATTAGCACATTGGCTGATCCCTATCAGTGTCCCATCATAGTGAGAAAATTCATGTTTCGAGGGAGGATTTCTTTCTTCCTTTCTTTTTCGACAACGAGCAAATTTTTCTTACCTTCCATAAGAGGAATGTACAAGGTATACATCCTGTAGTTATTGTGAGAGAAGTATAAAACCCGGTGCCCCAAATTGATTCTGATTCTTAGCCACCTTCTACAACACGGGAGAACTGCTTCTTAGGGTTCCAGAGACTATAAATCTCTATGGAAGCAGATAACCTTATTTTTCTCAAAAAGAAACAGCTGATGGGCTTGAATCATTGACCTTTTAATCTGTGGCTTTTTTGATCTGAGTCCTTGTATATAAGTCATAGCATAATGATGACTCCTTTGGTGATTTCTGAACCATTCTTTAGCTACATTTTAGAGGGAACTCCCCTAAACTCACTTTGTGGGAGGGATGTTATGTCACCAATGACTTGGCACCTTGACTACATTGATGATTACTGTGTAATCAGAATTCATAGCTAGTATAGATTACTCTGGGAAACATATAAGGCAGTCATCTTCTATATAGATTCGGAAACCTTAGAGGGCAGTTCTACCCTGCTCTATAGAGTCGTTATGAGTCAGAAAGCCCTGGACAGCAGTGGAATGTGAACAAACCAATAACCCAACGCACCATAAACCAGAAGTCCAACAGTAATGTTCCCAAAGGATAGTGCTTCTATAAGAATTCCATCTCATTCCCCACTGCCATGCTTGCTCGCAGATGAGATGGGGTGAAATGTTGCTCAGGCGCCTTATTGACATTGAGATATTCACAGGCCTTCCCTTTAAATCAAAGCAAATAGAGTTTACTTCACGCACTCCAGAAGCCATTTCACAGCCTGAGCATTAAAGTTGTTCTTTTAAAACCATGCACTTTATTCATGTTAACAGCCCTCTAATGATACTCCACTTGAACTCCCAGACAACGGGGTAGATTAAAAACAAAACCCCAAAGATATCAAAGGTGAAAGTGTGGCAGTTCCTGCCCTCAAGGAGCTCACCGATATAAGAGGGACCCACGCCAACATTCCCACTCAGAGAACTCTCATGTTTACTAAGGTGGCTTTTTGGAGTCTAGCTTTAACATGAAGCCACAGCAATGTCCATTTTTAATTGTTAATTCCCTCAACTAGCATCTTGAAATTCCTTTTACTCTGCGCAAGAAATGGAATCATGAGCTCTTATTTCTGCAGTATTCATTAACTTGTGGCAACGTGTTACATAATAACTAACAGAGGGGTGCGGAAAGGGTAATAGCTGAGTGGAATGCTATAGATATTAGATGTGAAAACATGCCCTTGCGATTCATGGAATCTTTGCAAACTTTGAGCAAGATAATCCCAACGTATAAATCGACACTTTAAAAGAAGTTGATATCGTAGAGATTCGTGAGGGGCTATTTTTTAGAATCAATGATCAAGGAAGTTATCCCAAAGGGAAAGACATGCAAACTGAGACTGACATGACAAGAAAGAGCCAACAGGGGAATTCCAGGGAAGAACACTCCCACAGGGAAAAGAGCTTGTGCAAAGATAACGTGGCTCCGAGGCAGGCTGCCAATGGAAGGGAGAAAAAAAGGAAAGGAGGGATGGATGGAGGGACAGAGGCTGAAAAAGAAAGACATTTAAATTTGAAATGTCATAGGGGGTCACCCTCTTGAAGTTGTGTTATATGTTTTTTCTAGTTTTCAGTATAGGAAACCCAGGATTGATGATCCTATTGGGACAGCAAGTAGAATAAGGATTTCATGGAGGGTGGAGGGAAGAGTTGGTAAAAGAGTGACAATGTCAAGAAGCCTAGGAAGAAAGAGAGTGTTTGGAAACTGATTGTGATGGCAGTTGTACAGTTATGCTTGGAGTGACTGGACTTTGGAGTGATATGCTGTGTGTGTTGGCTCCCAATTAATAATAAATTTTAAAAAATAAATTTGAAATTATGCAAGGTCTTACTGATCATAATCAGAAATTTGGATATTTGTTCCTATGTAGAATTAGAAGCCATTGGAAGTTCTAAGCAGCAGAGTTGAAGCAATCAGTTATATTTGTGGTAGGTAAAGAGAGTTAGCAAGATTGAAATAGGAGGCAATTGAGGTCGACCTAGCAATAAATGAGGACTAGCATAATGTTCGCAAGGTGGAAGAGTGAGAATGTATTCAAGATCGACTTTAAAGTCGAACCACTGGGAGTAGATATTTTGCGAGAGAGGGAAAGTAAGGTTGATCCCCAGTTGAGATACTGGGAAGATCTTGACGCTGAATGGAGAAGCTAGGGAAGCACTGATTGCAGACCAAGAGGTAAAATCCTTATGAGGCAGCTGAAGTGTGAAATGGCTGTCAAGCGCCTACGTGGAAATTATTTGGGTGATAGGGTTCTTAAGACCAACTGATCTACCTTGAATGCATAAAGTACCCTTGAGAAAGCAGATTTCGGCTGAGCTTTCAGGAAGGACATGTCACCTGTTGATAAGGAAAGTGAAGAAGGTAAATTTAAAATGGAAGGAATGGTTTGACTAAAGGCCCTGGCTCAGAAAAGAATGAGCCAGACTCGAAAAAAGAAAGGAAACAAGAGTGGGTGTAGCACCTTGGCCCCAGGGCAGGATGGCACTGGGTGAGGGTGCGGAGAGTGAGGAAGAACCAGCAGAACTTTTCATCAGCCCTTTTCATCAGCAAGTTAGATTTCAGTGAACACTTTCC